TGTAGTTATACATGTTCTGGTTAGCATGTGTAATTCCCTAGTTCAGTTCCCAATACCAAACAAAAGGGGCGCTGAAGAAGAGAAGAAGAGGAGAATCAGCCAGCCGCAGTGGCTCATGCCTAGAATCCTTTAGCTACAGGAGGTTCGAAGCCAGCCCAGGCAGGAATGTCTGTGGAATTTTTTAAAAATTTATTTTATTTAGCCAGTTCTGGGGCTTAAACCCAAGACCTGGGCACAGTTCCTGAGCTTCTTTTGTTCAAGTCTAGCACTCTACCATTTGAGCCATAATGCCACTTCTGGCCTTTTCTGTGTATGTGGTACTGAGGAATGGAACCCAGGGCCTCATGCATGATAGGCAAGCACTCTACCACTACGCCACATTCCCTGCCCCGTGAAATTCTTACTCTCCAATTAATCACAGAAAAGGCCCAGAAGTGAGAGCTATGGCTCAGGTGGTAGAGCACTAGCCTCTTTTGCTCAGTGCCCAGCACCAGAAGAAAACAAAAAGGACAGTCAGAATGGGCTGCATACCACATACATCACATCAGTTCTAACAAATTTCCTCATCTGCCAGGGGACTTGATAAATTAGTTTGTAGATGAAAAACCTCCCCATCATACCTGTTAACCAGTAACATGTGGACTGTTCTACAGAATGCTGGGGAGTTAGGGGGTAGGGGTATACAATTAGTTACATATTTTTTTCTTAGGAGAACAGGCATGAAAACACGTTCAAAACTAATCTGAAAATTATTAAGGGAGTTATTTAAACAATGCCTATGGTGCAGTGATCATGAAGCATGAGATTCCAGCGACAACTTTGAAAATACACCTTCTGTAGTAAAAACACTGGATAGAACACTTAACTTCCGTGCCATTGTATTGGTGTAGAAAACATGCAACAATGCTATTCTTTCTTGTTTAAAAAAAAGTTTGGGGGCTGGGAAGGTGGCTCAGTGGTTCAGTGGTAGAGTGCTTGCCTAGCATGTATGAAGCCTTGGGTTCAAAACCGAAAAAGCCAGGAGTGGTGCTCTGAAGTGGTAGAGTGCTAGCCTTGAGCAAAAGAAGCTCATGGACAGTGCCCAGACCCTGCGTCTGTGTACAAGCCCCGCAAGTGGCAGATAAACAAATATTTTTTAAAGCTCAACTTTTTTTTTTTTTTTGAGGGAGGTGGTCAGTCGGGTTTGAATTCTGGGCCTGGGCGCTGTCCCTTAGCTCTTCAGCCAAGGTGAGTGCTCTACCACTTAAGCCACAGCACCACTTTCAGTTTTCTGGTGGTTAGTTGGAGTTAAGAGTCTCATGGACTTTTCTGCCTGGGCTGGCTTTGAACCACGATCCTCAGCCTCCTGTAGCTAGGATTATAGGCTTGAGCCACCGGCACCTGGCTAAAGTTCAACTTTTTAAATAGTTTTTAACTTAAAACTTTAAAAGTTTGTAATATTAAGGTGTTTCGTTTTGAAGAGGAGCATACAGATGTTTATTGTGGCACTGGGTTGTTTCAAACCTTCATGATGTGTGCCCTTAAATGAGTGATTTGTGTCTCTTTCTGTTCAGGAATACACACACACACACACACACATACACACACACACACACACGCAGCTTTACTGTATATTTGAGGTCACTCTGGTTGTTTTCCTGTATCATTTCGCTAGAGAATTGATCTTAATCTGGAGCTCAAGTTCAAGTTGTACAAACTTGTTTGGTTTTGGTTTTGGTTTTTTTGGGTCTGTCGTGGGCCTGAACTCTGGGCCTGGGCACTGTCCTTCAGCTCTTCAGCTCAAGGCTAGCACTCTACCACTTGAGCCACAGCGCCACTTTTGGCTTTTTCTGCTTATGTGGTGCTGAGGAATGGAACCCAGGGCCTCATGCCTGTAAGGCAAGCGCTCTACCACTGAGCCACCTTCCCAGCCCCAACTTGTACAAATTTATAACCTTTCTGAGAACAGGATCATTATTCCTAAATCATCTTCAGGAAATAGCTAGTTTCTGAACCTGAATTTGCTAGGAACAACGACTAGAGGAAGTGTGTGAGATTCTGAGGGAGGTTGTGAAAGGGATCCCAGTGTAGGACATGCATGCACTTGGTGAACGTGGCTCCTTGGAAGCTGTCAGCCACAGCTGTAACCTGCCTCGCTGGGGCACCCCTTAAAGCCAAGGTAAACCCTTGCGCCTTGCGTGAAGGTGGCCGATAGCCGCTGTGTCATGTCAGCGAGGAGCACTCTCTATCCCTACTTGACTTCAGTAATGAATCATCTCACCTCAGGGGCGGGCCCAAGGGAAGACAGACCCAAGGGACACCCAGCTCTCCCTTAGTCCCACTTCTAATGAATAACACTTTTCTCCAGAGGGCAATTGTAATTGACAAATCCAGTTAATACCCCCAAGGAATAGTTTCAGGTCCTATTATCCTTTTCACTTCTCCTGAGGACAGTACTTGACTGTCTTTTGTTGGGGTTCTGGCTAGACTACATTGTCTGCTCTGGCCAGATTGATAACTTACAATTCAAGACAAATATTAATTTAGCCCACCAAATAATATATTCCTTTTATGATACAAATGAGGAATTCTTTGAATGTGTAACAGTAATTAGATTTTGAAATTTTGGTCTAGTTTATCTTTTTTTTCCTATGGTGTCCAGAATGGTCTTAACTCCCACATTCTCTCACTAGCACCCCCCCCCTCTCTTTTTTTTTTTTTTTGGTCAGTTGTGGGGCTTGAACTCTGGGCCTGGGCGCTGTCAGCCCCTCACTCTACCACTTGAGCCACAGCACCACTTCCAGTTTTTTGAGTGGTTTATTGGAGATAAGAGTCTCACAGACTTTCCTTTCCAGGCTGGCTTTGAACCTTGTTCCTCAGATCTCAGCCTTCTGAGTAGCTGGGATTACAAGTGTGAGCCACTGGCTCCTGGCCTCCTCCCTCTTTTTTTTGTAAGTTCTTGAACTCATATTGTATCCATATATTACAGGCTGCCAACAAATACTAGTTGAATTGTTCCTTCGTTTCCATTAATGTATGTTTCCTATTTGTGTAAAAGACAATGTCTTTTTTTTTTTTTTTTTTTTTTTTAGTATCTAAATGGATACTCAGACCTGGAATTGGGTCTGAGCTTCAGTGTCACTGATTTGTTTAGAAATGAATACTGTGTCAGGCTGGTCTCGTGGACCAATAGTAAGGGTAGTCTGAGATAACTGAGGTGGTAAGAAAGACACAAGGTAGTTGGAGAGCGCTACTGGTGGGGACAGGTGCTGTCTCAGGGCGATTTCTCTCTAGAACTGACATTGAGCTCGGACCAAAATGTGGTGTGTACTTTCAGAGATGTTGGAGGGGAGGTGGGTGGTATAAAGAGGTGGAGGCAGCCAGGCGCCGGTGGCTCGTGCCTGTAATCTTAGCTACTCAGGAGGCTGAGATCTGAGGATCCCAGTTCAAAGCCAGTCCGGGCAGGAAAGTCTGTGAGATTCTATCTCCAATAAACCACTAGAAAACCAGAAGTGGCACTGTGGTTCAAGCGGTAGAGCGCTTGCCTTGAGCTGAAGAGCTCAGGGACAGTGCCCAGGTCCAGAGTTCAGGCCCCATGACCGACCCCCTCCCCCCCCCAAAAAAAAAAAAAAAAAAGAGGTGGAAGTAGCAGGAGCCAAGTAACACCTACAGGACAGGACTGGAGTCTGGGGAGGATGGGACTCACTGGAGATCACAGAGCTGCCACTGTGGGGAGGGCACTGCTTGCAGTGAGACTTGAGCTGTGGCTCAAGAATAAATGGCTCTTCCAATGTTAGATTGAACTCAGAGCTTTGTATCTGCTCAGCGTGCTTGCCAGACTGGTACTCTACCACTTGAGCTACTCTCCAGTCTTGGCTTCATACTGTGAGTCTCCTAGACCGCAACCTCCTGAATAGCTAGGATCGCAGGTATGAGCTACCAACTAAAATCCTGCCTTTAATCCAGCCTTACAATAAATTGATTCAGTTTTCAAGTCTGTGGGGAATGTCTTGGTGTGAGAACATTCACACAGCCTAGCCTGTAAGGTGTGTGTCTATGGTTTCGCAAAGCAGAGGTACAAGTTAACCTCCACAGTATAAGCCTGGCATTACAGTTCCTTCTGAGATGGAAAGTGTATGGCACTTGTGTGTAACTTGTGTTCTGAAGGCTGGAGAGGGAAGAGTTCCTGGGCAGTGTTAGGGAGAGGCCACTTCCTGTTTCCGTGATAAGTAATCAGAGCCATGTTCTCAAGTTGTATCTTCCATACAGTACCTGCACGCACTGTTCTCAAGTCCTTCGGTAGGAATTTAGGAAGCAAAATAAGAGGACTAAGAAGTTAGAGCCTTGCTTGCCTGCTTCTTGGTGTGTGTTAACACGCAAGCTCAGTTACTACTGGAGATTTTATGAAACGAAAGGTATTTCTCTCCAGGCATGATGGTACACTGATTTGAGGCTTGTCTGAACTATGTCAGACCCTGGCTCAAAACAGATTCCTTGTTTAGACACCCCTATGTCTTTTATACTCTTCTTATCAGCTGGACCTGGGCCTGGTGCCAGTGGCTCACGCCTGCTGCTCAGGAGGCTGAGATCTGAGGATCACAGTTCAAAGCCAGCCCAGGCAGGAAAAGTCTGTGAGACTCTTATCTCCAGTTAACCACAAAAAGTGGTTAAAGCCCCAGTACCAGCACACAAAAAAACTGTACCCGGTAACGCTGTTAATAGCCATATATGAAAAAGCATAGAAACCATCTTTAATCTTCATATTCAGATTAAACTGCCAGACTCCAAGGACTCTAGAGAAAATTAGCTTGGTTTAGAACAAATATTTACCTTAACATTCTTTGTTAGTAGTCTAATTGCTTAGTCTTTACATAGAAAGCAAATTGATGTTTATTTCACTTTTAAAGTTGTTCAAATGACAAGACATGTTCCTCTATCTTAGAGAGTGGCTTTTTTTGTAAAACAGAGTTACCGGCGCACGCTCAGGCCAGGCCATACTGAACTGTTGTTCTTTCTCACAGGGAAGTCCTCCTTGACGATTCAGTTTGTTGAAGGCCAGTTTGTTGACTCCTACGATCCAACCATAGAAAACAGTAAGTATTGTTTTCAAGTACTCCGGAATTGAGAATGCTTGTCTCCCTTACAGACAGCCATTGTGTGCCTCAGGAGCCTTGGATAGCAGGCTATTCCATTAAATCTACCTTTCTCTTATGGTCAGATAGCCTCTAGAAACTTTCCCCACTATGTAATGAATCTGTTTTCATTCAATGTCAGGATCCCTAGCCATCTAGAAATTATTACTCGAATCATAGGAATCCATTTGTCCTGTACCAGCCAGCGCCTTCATGTTCAGAATCTGCTTCAAGAAACCAGAGAGCAGTGTTTGTTTGTTTGTTTTCCTCCTTTCCTCCACAGTAGCCCTTTTTCCACATCTTGAGCCTGAAGACAGATGAGGCCCTGCGGCCCCCGGTACCTTCTTGCATAGGAGCGGAGCGCTCCCAGACTCTAGTCCTCTAGACTCAGAAGAGACTGCCAGGAAGTGAGCTATTTTGAGATAGGAGCAAGCAGGCACAGCACTAAAAAGAAGTTGCTCAGAAGGCCTCTGTGCATTTCAGAGCACGTGCGGAAGAAAGCAAGCACAGACATCCAGAACCAGCCACAGCACTTGCTCTATTTCAATCTTTCTAAAGATTCTAGGGATGATGAAGGGAAGCTGTTGAAAGCAGAAGCAGACTCGTTTGGGGCTGTTGTAAAACACCAGGTGGGGCCTGGGACCAGCCTGACCCAGCCTCCTCCGATTCTTAAGGCAGTACTTACCTAGGATTTTGTCACAGGGAACACAAAGATGGAACATGGGTTGGATCCAATCCTCATTGGCATGGATAAGGAACCTTCACTGAGGGGTTCATAAACTTGAAACAACTAGGTTTCTTACCAGAAGAGAAACACCCACATATGCATTGGCTTGTAACAGGGTTGGAGGCCAGCCCACAGGCCTAAGGGGCCAACAGCTTTTCTTTCAGTAGTGCAAGGCTAAAGGGCCAAGAATAATACTGTGATGGGTGAAAATCAGAGTTTATGTGTCAGTACCACTGAAGATTTTGTTTCTTCTTGTTATTGTTTTGCAAAATTGGGACGGGAACCCAAGGCCTGGCATGTGCTAGGCAAGTGCTCTACCGCTGAACTACGTCTGCTGTCCTAATAAAGTTATCAGTCCTTCATGTATTATGTATGGCTGCTTTTGCTCTGCACTGGTAGCTATTAAATAATTACACCACACACTGTGTAGCCCATAAAGCTTAAAATATTTGCTATCTAATCCTTCATAGGAGAAGTTTGCCCACTACTGGTTTAGTAGTGTCCTCTGCATCCTAGTGCTCTGGTAGCAGAAAGGATTCCTGTTGGTTGACACTAACTCTTCAGAAGACCCGTGTTTGAAAGTCACCAGCGGGGAGATGGGGAGTTGGGGGTAAGGGGGGAAATGGGAACGGATAGGAAGGGGAAACAAAGGAGGAGGCAACAATGCTTGATAAGAAATGTACTCATTATCTTGCCCATGTAATTGTAACTCCTCTGTACATTATTTTCACAATTAAAAAAAAAAGTCACCAGCTAGAATCCTCAGGGAAAAGTCCTGACTAAATCCTGCATTGAGGTTAGCTGGTTACTTACAGAGTAGAAAGCAAGTCTGAAGAACAGATGCATTGGGGTGTTCACCGGGGTTTTTTCTACTTTTTTTGGGGGGGGGGTCTGGTCGTGGGGCCTGAACTCTGGGCCTGGGCGCTGTCCCTCAGCTCTTCAGCTCAAGGCTAGCGCTCTACCACTTGAGCCACAGCGCCACTTCCGGCTTTTTTCTTTTTTCTTACGTGGTGCTGAGGAATCGAACCCAGGGCCTCAGGCATGCAAGGCAAGCGCTCTACCACTGAGCCACCTTCCCAGCCCCTTAACCCGGGTTTTGAATTTGGCCTGGCACTTGCTAAAATATGCAGGCATTCTACCTAGGTAGAAGCCACGCCTCCTACCTAGATTTTTTAATTGCGTGTGTATGTGTGCACATGCATGCGTGCACGCCAGTACCAGGGATTAATTTAGAGACTCTCAGCTAGGCTTTTTCACTCATGCCACTTGCTTACTGTGCCACTTGAACCATGCCTCTAAGTTTCAACTTTTTGCTGGTTAATTGGAAAGAAGAGTCTTGTGGATTTGTCTGCCCTGGCTGGCTTTTGAAGTACAGTCATCAGATCTAAGTCTCCTGAGTGATTATGATTATAAGACTGAGCCACCAGCACCCTGATTTTGGTCATAAAGTCCAACTTACATAACTCAGTATTATTAAAGAATCAAGGGGCTGGGAATGTGGCATAGTGGTAGAGTGCTTGCCTAGCATTCATGAAGCCCTGGGTTCAATTCCTCAGTACCACATAAACAGAAAAAGCTGGAAGTGGAGCTGTGGCTCAAGTAAGTTTAAGCAAGCTGGGTGCCAGTAGCGCTACCTGTAATCCATGCTACTCTGGAAACTGAGATTAAATGATCACGGTTTAAAGCCAGTCTTGGCAGGAAAGTCTGAGAAACTCTTTAACGCTAATAAACTACTCAAAACAAACCAAAAACAACCTGAAGTGGAGCTGTGGCTCAAGGGGTAGAGTGTAACTCGGGCCCTGAGTTCAAGCCCCAGGACTTGTACCGCGGCCCCCCCCCCCCCCCCCCCAAACAAAAAAATCAATTGATATGATCTTACTTTTTTTCTTTCCCTGTGATGTGTTTGTATTGCCCATGCTGGTCTCTTAACTCCTAGGCTTGAGTGCTCCTTCTGAGTAGCTGAGATTGTATTCTACTACATTTCTTGGGGTAGGGGGAGGGTGGTCATGGGGCTTGAACTCAGGGCCTAGTTCCTGTTTCTGAGCTTTCATGCTCAAGGCTAGGGCTCTTCCACTCTTGAGATAGTGCTACTTGCAGCTTTCTGGTGGTTATGCAGATAAGAATCTCATGGGGACTTTGCTGTCCCCAGCTGGCTTTGCATTACAATCTTATGATCACCCTCTGAGTAGCTGGGATTATAGGCATGAGTCATGGGCACCAGCTTTTCTGCTCTCTTTTTTCCGTTGTTGGTGTTGTTGTTGGATGTGGGGCTTGAACTCTAGGCTTGAACTCTTCAGCTCAAGGCAAGCGCTCTACCACTTGAGCCACAGCGCTACTTCTGGTTTTTTTGGTAGTTTATTGGAGATAAGAGGCTCATGGACTTTCCTGCCCGGGCTGGCTTTGAGCCATGATTCTCAGATCTTAGCCTCCTGAGTAGCTAGGATTACAGGTGTGAGCCACCAGCGCCCAGCCATTTTCTTCTTTTTTTAAAAGTAAATACAGGAAGTGGCGCTGTGGCTCAAGTGGTAGAGCGCTAGCCTTGTGCTGAAGAGCTGAGGGACAGTGCCCAGGCCCAGAGTTCAGGCCCCACGACCGACAAAAAAAAAAAAAGTACGGGCTGGGAAGGTGGCTCAGTGGTAGAGTGCTTGCCTTTGAGGCCCTGGGTTTGATTCCTCAGCACCACATAAGCAAAAAGAAAAAAAAAGCCGGAAGTGGCGCTGTGGCTCAAGTGGTAGAGCGCTAGCCTTGAGCTGAAGAGCTGAGGGACAGCGCCCAGGCCCAGAGTTCAGACCCAAGACCGGACCCAAAAAAAAAAAAAAAAAGTAAATGCAGGCTGGTCTAAAACTCTGGTCTCCTGAGCGCTGGGATTACAGGTGTCTGTCACCATGCCCAGCTTCCCTGTACCTGCGTTTGCCTGTTATTCGCAGTGCTTGCAGCATAATATTTGAAGGATATAGTTGAGATTATATTACTCCTTTGCTCAAAATCCTTGGCTTCCCATCCCATTCGGGTCCATAAGGCCTACCTGGTTTCCTTCACTTCAGCTGCCTTGGCTTTTTCACTTACTGTCTACCTTCTGCCCAGGAAGAATATCAGACAAGGTGGGTGCTTTTCTTCACTAGGATGCCACCTAAGGGTCAAGGACTACCAGCATCCTTTGTGCAGAGAGGTTTTAATTCAGCGTGTCCATGTATGCGTACAATGCATCTTGATGAAACACTAATCATAGCAGAAGGGTTTCTCACAGCTGTTTCTTGACTGCGCCTGGCTGGCCGTGCCAGACGAGCCCTTCCCGTGTCAGGTCACGGTGTGAAAAATACCTTGGAACTTAGAATCAGTGAAGCAGATTATAGTAGGTGTTACCTGTCCTGACATAATTCAGATTCAGTTTTCATCTGGTTTACCTATTTCCTAAAAAACGATGGTCTCTAAGCCAGGCGCCAGTGGCTAATGCCTGAATCCTAGCTATTCAGGAGGCTGAGATCTGAGGTTCATGGTTCAAAGCCAGCCCAGGCAGGAAAGAGTGTGAGACTCTTATCTTCAGTTAACCACCAGAAAACCAGAATTGGCACTATGGCTCAAGTGGTAAAGTGTTCGCCTTGAGCTGTAGAGCTCAGGACAGCACCCAGGCCCAGAGTTCAAGTTCCATGACTGACAAAAAGAAAAAAAGATTTCTCTAGAAAGCCTTCAGTGGAGAGGCTGGGTAGGTGGCTCAGTGGTAGAGCGCTTGCCTTGCATGCCTGAGGCCCTGGGTTCGATTCCTCAGCACCACATAAGCAAAAAGAAAAAAGCCGGAAGTGGCGCTGTGGCTCAAGTGGTGGAGTGCTAGCCTTGAGCTGAAGAGCTGAGGGACAGAGTTCAGGCCCCACAACCGGACCCCCAAAAAAAAAGAAAAAAAAAAAGCCGCCAGCGGAAATGGCTGTTGGTCTGCAGACTTTCTGCCCCTGAGCCTGACACCCCTGAATGCACTAGAAGAAAGGGGTGCCAGCCATCCTCCCCAGGGAACCTCTGTAACTCACATAGGATCTCCTGTCTCTCTCTCTCCCCTTGTTCCTTGTTTTCTTGGCTTTGTTGCTTATTTCCTGGCTTTTTTTTTTTTTCTTGAATAATTTCCATTTGTCTCTTTTTTTAGTCAGTTGTGGGGCTTGAACTTAGGACCTGGGCACTGTCCCTGAGCTTTTCTGCTTAAGGCTAGCATTCTTCTACTTTGAGCTACAGCTCCACTTCTGGTTTTCTAGTACTTAATTGGAGATGAAAGTCTCACGTCCTTTCCTGCCTGGGCTGGCTTTGAACCGTGATCCTCAGATCTCAGCCTCCTGAAAGTAGCTAGGATCACAGGTGTGAGCCACCGGTGCCTCCCTTTCCATTAGTATGTTTGTTTGTTTGCTTGCTTGTTTGTTTGTTTTGCCAGTCCTGTGCTTAAACTCAGGGCTGGGCACTGTCCCTAAGCTGCTTTTGCTCAAGGCTAGCACTCTACCACTTGAACCACGGTGCCACTTCTGGCTTTCTTATGTGGTACTGAGGAATAGAACCCAGGGCTTCATGCATGCTAGGCAAGCATTCTACCACTAAGCCACATTCCCAGCCCCCATTTGTCTTTTTGTTTCCCTTTTGGCTATAGCACCAAGTAGATAGTTGTGCCAGGGATAGCTTGGATCTCAAGGGATAACCAGCCAGGGTGGCTGTGACATCCGCCACGCTTCCTGTAGGGCTCTGCGTGTTACTTCCTAACATTCTCTTACTGTTAATAGTTCCTCCTCTTTTATCTTTATTTATTTAAAGCCTGTCTCCTTAGAATTCTGACTGAATTGGCTTTTTTGCAAGTTGCTAGAATATAATTTTTTCTTCATGAAAGGAAAAACTCAAGTTGTGACAGATTGCTTAGGTCCTTAGGTAAATGAGAACAGTGGCTTCATCCCAGAACATCTTTTTTATGCTGGTTTATTTCTCAATAAAAGAACTTGGGCTGGGATGCTGGTGGCTCATGCCTATAATCCTGGCTGCTCAGGAGGCTAAGATCTAAGGATCCACGGTACAAAAGCCAGCCCGGGCAGGAAAGTCTGAGATACTCATCTCTAATAAACCACCAGAAAACTAGGAAGTGGCGCTGTGGCTCAATGGTAGAGCTATTGCCCTGAGCTGAAGAGCTCAGGGACAGCACCCAAGCCCCAGAAATCAAGCCCACAACTGACCCCAAAAAAAGAATTCGGTTTTTTTCTTCTATGTGCTGAACATTAGCACTTTCTAAAATTTTTAGTATCTTTTAAATAGTTGGACCAAAGGGTTTCCATTAACAAGTACTTTAGTTAATGAGGGGCCAACTATAAGTTAATGGAAGCCAGGCTTCCTGTAGTGTAATTTTGCTAATTGGCAGGAGGTGAAAGGACTCTGTACATAGAACATTTTTGGTTTGGGGGGCTGGGAAGGTGGCTCAGTGGTAGAGCGCTTGCCTTGCATGCCTGAGGCCCTACCACAGCGCCACTTCCAGCTTTTTTCTTATGTGGTGCTGTGGTAGAGCGCTAGCCTTGAGCTGAAGAGCTGAGAGACAGTGCCCAGGCCCAGAGTTCAGGCCCCATGACCGGACCAAAAAAAAAAAGAACATTTTTGGTTTGGTTCTTGTATATTCTGGGTATGAAGTGTTGCCTACCCTGGTCTCTTTGGGAAAAAAGTCAAGTTCCCCAAGGTTGATCTTAGTCAGCCACAGTGTCTCCCAGTTAAATGACAGAGGTAGAGGCGAATCTGTACCATGCAGGAGACTCCTTTCTTGTTTCCTGGGAAGTATTCTTGAGGTCATTAGGCATTCTGGTATGTTTCATTGTTCTGACTTGAAGTTAATTTATTTAATCTGTGTTTATTTTTTTCCTTGTAGCTTTCACAAAGTTGATCACAGTAAATGGACAAGAATATCATCTTCAACTTGTAGACACCGCTGGGCAAGTAAGTGACCTCTAAAACCTCAGAATCTCCCGCCGGAAAACATGCCTGGCAGCGTCCAAATATCAGTCCTACCAGGACCAGTCCTCACGCTGTGCGACAGAACATTCACAGCACTCTGCTTTGTCTTCTAAGACACACATGGAGGGTTCTGAGTAGTTTACTTTTCTGAGACCTGGACTCAAACTCGGTAATCTTAGGCTTGTTTTCCATCATCGGCTGACACTCTATTACTGGATCCACACCTCTCAGTGTTTTTTTTTTAGAGGTGGTGTTGTTGTTGTTGGAGGAGGATATTGGGCTTGAACTCTGGGCCCGAGCACTACCCCTCAGCTCTTCAAGAGCTCAAGGCTAGCACTCTGCCACTTGAGCCGTAGCTCCACTTCTGGTTTTCTGAGGGAGTGGTTTATTGGAGATAGAGTCTCACAGACTTTTGTGCTGGCTTTGAACTGCAATCCTCAGAGCTCAGCCTCCTGAGTAGCGAGGATTACAGGCATGAGCTACTGGCACCCAGCCACACCTGGCTTCTAAAATACATTCTTAATGTGAGGGTTGATGCGATACTCAATGTAGGATTCTGCATCCCAGAATCAGAGTGCTTTCTTTTCCTCTGTAATATGTATTGTCCATTAAGAGCAAAAGTAAATCTTAGGAGCCAGCATGAGAATATACAAGGAAGAAGCAACTGATTGCATCTTGTAAGTACTTGGTCAGAAAGCACTGGTTCATTTGGCATCCCAGATTCAGTTTGAATGTTTCTTTGGTTTGTGTACTTACTATGTAGCGGTAAGGTTGGAGATCATCGAGTGTTGGTTGCTTTTCTATGCAGCAGGTAACTGCCAAAGGTCAAGCTGCTGCCACACACTAACGTGACTATCATAAGATAATAATTAGTATACTGGAAGTGGTGCTGTGGCTCAAAGTGGTAGAGCACTAGCCTTGAGTGAAAAAGCTCAGGAACAGTGCCGGGGCGCTAAATTCAAGCCCCGTGACCGACAAAAATTATAATAATAAGATAATCAGTATAGCCAGGTAACGTGGAATGGCTCATCAGGGGAACTGATTGGGGGCAAAGGGGACAAATAAGAATAGGAAATTAAAGCCCTTTTGACAACTTAGCTGCTTCGTTTCTATGGTGCCCAGTTCTGCTTTTCCTAGAAACCATTCTGTTAGACTGAATTTCTTCCTGCGCTGGAGGGTAGGGAATAGAGAAGCTGGGATTTTAATTCCTGGCTTCTGTCCTTGCAGCTCTAATCACAAAGGGTCAGGTCAGCAGGAGGCTGAGTGGTCTAATCTGATCTGCCTTGTTGAATTGGGGCCTTTTTCTGGAACCTGGGGGTGTGGAGTGGCCTTGGAATAATGAAACATGTCTTGTGAGTTGGAAATGAATTCCCAGTGCTTCATGTTTTGGTGTGAATTTAGAACTGGAAAGTGACACACACACACATGCCCAATGAAGCAGGAAACAGCTATACTGGTATTAGCACTAAAAATGTAAGAGTTTCCATTCTGAAAGCTTGGAAGACAATACATCAAAAATCAAGACTCTGTGCTTGAGCGCAGCAGCCTGTAGTGGACATTTGAGTCTGTAAGCAGCCATGCTGGTGCTTGCTGTGGGGCTCCTGCCCCTCATTGTGTGAGGCTCATTGGCAGAAAGGGAAGAGTAATGGCCTGTGGGCATGGAGCACATAGGGCTCCTAGAACTAGCGCAAGGAGCCCTCTGGGCTGTGATCGGTGTTGGATTCTTTGGTTAAGAAGAGTAAGAACTTTATCTCCTGAAACTAGACGTGCTTGTCAGAAGGGCAGCTGGTCGTGCTGAGTTTGCTGGTAACAGGTAGAAACACCCTGGGCAAAGAGTGTGGCCGTTCCACATTATGGAACTTTATTTATTGTTTGTTTGTTTGTCGGTTGTGGGGGCCTGAACTCTGGGCCTGGACACTGTCCCTCAGCTCTTCAGCTCAAGGCTAATGCTCTACCACTTGAGCCACCGCACCACTTACAGTTTTTTCTGCTTATGTGATGCTCAGGAATCGAACCCAGGGCCACATGAATTCAAGGCAAGCACTCTACCACTAAGTCACCTTCCCAGCCTCTGGAAATTGTTTTTTTTAATCTTTGTTTTTGCTTGCTATTTGTGGGGTGGGGTGTGGCAGTGCTGGGGTTTGAGCTCCCCTCATGTGTGGTTTGCTCTTTATCTTCCTCTCCTGGAATGGGGTGAGGCTGGGAACTGACAGGTCTCCAGTCACTGTTGCTGTAAGGCCTCCGTGTTTCACAGGGACTCAGGACAATGAATGAGCTTTGCTGGCCCCAGCCCCTTCCTCTGTGCGAGAATGGGAGCCCTGGATCTCCCTGCATGGGGCTGTGAGAGAACACTGGCTTCGGCGGGTCATGGGTGCCTCGCAGGGACTCAGCTGCTGGTGCAGGGTAGGAGGAGGTGCCACGTTCACCCCTGCAGAGCTGCACAGGAAGTAGCTTTGTGTTGTCTCCTTAGCGGCACAAGATGGGTCTCTCCGAGTTAGAACTGAAGCGCAGTGTGGTGTGACTGCCCCGGGCTCCCGGCACAGCTCTTGTTCCCTTGGCTTGTGTTACTAGTGGATAAGAGTTCTTAGAGACTTTTTGCACAAAATATATCCACATTTAGCTACTTTGAATATTATAGGCAGTTGCTGTGCAGCTAATAGGTTTTTTGTTTTTTTGTGTGGATTGTGGGACTTGAACTCAGGGCCTGGGCACTGTCCTTGAGCTCTTCTGCCCAAGGCAAGCATTCTACCACTTAGAGCCACAGCACCACCTCCGTTTTTCTGGTGGTTAACTGGAGATAAGGGTCTCATGGACTTTCCTGCCCCAGCTAGCTTGGAACCAGGATCTTCAGATCTCAGCATCCTGTGAAGCTAGGATGACAGGCATGAGCCATGGCTCATGGCTTTAATAGTTCTTAAAGGTGACATTGGCAGTTGTCAGGTGACAAAGGTCATGTTCCTGGAGGTGACCCTCTCCCCACCCCCGCTTCCCCTTCCACTCCACAGCAGGGAGACGCTCCTGCATTCGGCTCGTGTGGGCTGGTTCAAATGCAGACTGGCATGGTGAGGAGAAATGGTCAAGGGGCAGACTCTTTTCAAATCATCTGTAGACCCAGTGGTGCACATCTATATATAGTCCCAGCTACACCAGAGCTTGAGGCTTGAGCCCATTAGTTCCAGGACCAGCGTAAGCAACAGAGAGAACCCCAACTGCAGGAAGAAAATAACCTATTGGACATGTATTCACTAGTTTAGTTTACTTTTTAGGTGTAAAACGGCAGGCAGTAAGTTAGTGATAGCAATAGCCAGTAGTTTTTACTTTGCGGTTTCTATCAGCACTGACTGAGGCACTTACCAGCTAGTGATGAGCGCACATGCTGAGAAATGTGCTAGTGGGGAATTTCACTACTGTGTAAACTTACACCCACCTCGCTGTGACAGCCATTTCCCCTAGGGCCATACTGAACAAAGCAGCACAAGATCAAGTCCACAGCATAACAGCTGGAGTGGGCTGGAGTGGACCTGAGCGCCTGGGCTGCTAATGTGCTAGCCGGCTGCTCAAGCTGACTGCGGCAGCTCCCTCCCCAGCCCAGGCGGCCCAGAGCGTCGCCTGTAGCCCCAGGGATTTGGGGTTGGGGGTTTTAGTCTAGTCTTCAGTTGCATTAACAAAAATTACATTCAGAAATCAACACTCAAATCCAATTTAACAAAAATTGTACTGGTAGTGAAAAGTTCTATTTTGCCTATGAAGTAAGTGCTGTGAAATAGGTGTTTGCTTTCTTTCTTTTTCTTTTTCTTTTTTTTTTTTTTTTTGTCAGTCATAGGCCTAAACTGTGGGCCTGGGCGCTGTCCCTCAGCTCTTCAGCTCAAGGCTAGCACTCTACACAGAGCCACTTCTGGCTTTTTCTGCTTATGTGGTGCTGAGGAATCGAACCCAGGGCCTCATGCATGCAAGGCAAGCACTCTACCACTGAGCCACCTTCCCAGCCCAAGGTATTTTCTGATTAATGAGTATGATACCAAGGACTTCATTTGTTTTTTTTGTTGTTGTTGTTGTTTTGTTTTAGTTTCTGTTTTTGTTTTTTTTTTGGGGGGGGGGGAGGTCCAGTTGTGGGGCCTGAACTCTGGGCCTGGGCGCTGTCCCTCAGCTCTTCAGCTCAAGGCTAGCACTCTACCACTTGAGCCACAGTGCCACTTCTGGCTTTTTTCTTTTTGCTTATGTGGTGCTGAGGAATCGAACCCAGGGCCTCAGGCATGCAAGGCAAGTGCTCTACCACTGAGCCACCTTCCCAGCCCTTCATTTGTTTTTTAATGGACTTTACTTACTATACAGTAATTCTGGGCCATCATAAATGTAGTTTACCATACTCTGGGTTGCAAAGTTAACAGAGATGATGGTTGATAGCAGGGCACATGGGGTGATATTGCTGTAGCCGGGCTCGTCATGTATGGTACGGCGACAATTACATGTCAACAGACAACGAAATGCATGTACCAGGCAGTGGTGTGTGTTGGTGAAAAATCACATTGATGTCAGAACCTTTTATATGTTTTCATAAGTCTGTATCTTATCTCATAAGTCTGTATCTTAAAGCAGTTTGGTAAGTTGCTTTGTAAGATTAGAGCTTAATACATAGTTACATCGTTTGTGCTTTGTCTTTAACTCCTGAAGTTGCTCAGTGGTAACTCTTGGTCCCCCAAAGTATGGATACACTGATTTATTCTAGTGGTTTAGATTGTTTCCTCTTTCTCAAATACCTTCTCAAATGTGTCTAACATAAAAAATAGGACAAGACAGGCACCGTTGGCTCACACTTGTAATTAGGGCTACTCAGGAGACAGATCTGAGGATTGTAGTTCAAAGCCAGCTTGGGCAGGAAAATCTGTGAGACTTGGTTGTGGGACTTGGTTGGGCACTATCTACCACTTGAGCCACAGCGCCACTTCCGGTTTTCTGGTGGTTAATTGTAAATGAGTCTTGTGGACTTTCCTGCACAGGATGGTTTGTATTTGCAATCCTCAGTTCTCAGCCTCCTGAGTAGCTAGGATTACAGGTGTGAGCCACCAGCACCAGCTGCAAGAAGCCCAGAGTAGAGGTGTGGCTCACGTGATAGAGCACTAGCCTTGAATGAGAAAGCTCAAGGCGAGCACTCAGGCCCTGCGTTCAAGTCCTAATATTGTCACACACAAAAATTAGAACAAATGATAATGGCATTACAAACCAGAAAGACTTGTCATTTCCCATGGGGGTTACAAGAGATTCTGGACTTTCCTACCTAGTGAAGAAAATGTGGCAGTGCTCATCTTTTCATAGATGACCACAGAGTCCACCATCGTCTCCCTCCTTCCATCCTCTCCTCCCAGGAGCCAGTGATGCTATCGCTTCTACCCTAGCGTTCTGAGACCTCTAGCCATTTCTTAGTCTTGGCTGGAGCCACTGTCACTTCCAAGCCATTCTGAACTCCTCAGAGCTCACAGGTTCCGGGATAACATTATATATACTCTGCTTAGATTGAGATTTTACTCAAATAGAATTTTTTTCTTCTTCCACAGGATGAATATTCCATTTTTCCTCAGACATACTCCATAGATATTAATGGCTATATTCTTGTGTATTCTGTTACATCAATCAAAAGGTAAGGCTTTAGACCGTTGCGTTGAGTTTCCTTGCTCTGAATAAATAGCACGAATCCTTTTTAAAGGATTCAGCCACATAGTCATGGTCACGGTTACACGTGGTCAGAATCACACGTGGTAGTACTGGCAATAGAATCTGATTTTTTACTTATCTATACTTTCTTTGGTCAGTGGGGCTTGAACTCGGGGTCTGGGTGCTGTCCCTGAGCTTTTCTACTCAAGGCTAGCGCTCTCCCACTTGAGCCACAGCACCACTTCTGGTTTTCTGGTGGTTAATTGGAGATCAGAGTCTCACAGACTTTCTTGCCTGGGCTGGCTTTGAACCGCAGTCCTCAGATCTTAGCCTCCTGCATTGCTAGGATTACAGGTGTGAGCCACCAGTGCCCAGCTCATCATCATCTTTGAATATGCATTTCCTTAGTGATAAGAACACTACTTCTTTTTTTTTTTTTTAATGTCATGGGGCCTGAACTCTGGGCCTAGGCATTGTCCCTCAGCTCTTCAGCTCAAGGCAACTGCTCTACCACTTGAGCCACAGCGCCACTTCTGGCTTTTTCTGTTTATGTGGTCTGAGGAATTGAACCCAGGACCTTATGCATGCAAAGCAAGCACTCTACCACTGAGCCACCTTCTCAACCCGAGAACATTACTTTTTATATCAACTGCATCCAGAATGTGTCAGCTGTGATTTCCACCTTGGTGTTGTAGAGTGAAATGTGTAAGAACTATTCAGCAATCTGTGGGACTTCGTTGCGCTGTTTTTTTCTGAAGTGCTGGGGATTGAACTCAGAGCCTCCCTTAAAGCTTCATCCCAGCCCTCCCTCTGGTCTGTTTCATACTGTATTAAGAAGCAGTGTTTTTCTTTCCTGATTCCTGGGGCTTGAACTCTGGGCCTAGGTGCTGCTCCTGAGCATCTTTTGCTCAAGGTTAATGTTCTAGCACCCAAGCCACAGCGCCACTTCTGGATTTTTCTGTGATTTAATTGGAGATAAGATTCTCAAGCTGGCTCCAAACTGTGATCCTCAGATCTCAGCCTCCTGTGTAGTTAGGATTACAGGCGTGAGCCGCCAGTGCTGGGCTAAAAGCAGTGTTTTTACAGTGTTCCACTTGTTGCTTTCAGAGAATCAAAAACTATGCTATTTAAAAGGTCTAGAGCAGAAATGAACATGTATGAGGCGATCTGGAGCTGCTGTGTGCACTCAGGTCAGACTGGTGTGCCCTGGCACACAAGTGTCCCTGCACAGAAGCTGGCTCTAAGCAAATGTGCAGCGCTGATTCCTTTCTAGTGGGTAGTCATTGCTTTTTTAAGGTTATTTATCAAAGTCCTACTAAGCTAATATTATGCTGAGTTGTAATCAGCAATTCAGAACTGCTGCTTTTCATTGTTGAACCTGTTCTCAGTGGAAAGCACGTCGTTTAATTGGGGTCATCCGAGAGGCTCTCTGCCTGATGAGAGCCCACGGAGCTCCTCTGTTGGGAAGGGACAGGAATCTGGGCTGTGGTGGTGTGGGCGTCCACTGCCCCAGGCTTACTCTGCATACTTGAGTCCATTTCTAGCTGGCTCTTTGCCGTGTGAGGATATTTGTTTTTTGGTTTTTGAACTCAGGCTCTGGGTGCTGTCCCTGAGCTCTTTTGCTCAATATGAGCGTACTACCACTTTGAGCCACAAGGCCACTTCCAAATTTCTGATGGTGAATTGGAGATAAGAGTCTCTTGGACTTTCCTGCCCGGTCTGCCTTTGATCCATGATCCTCCAATCTCAGCCTCCTGTGCTAGGATCACAGGTGTGAGCCACTGGCACCAGGCTTGTTTTGTTGTTTTTCTTGATATTGGCCATTCTGATTGGGGTAAGGGGAATCTCAGTGTTTTTTTGATTTGCATTTCCTTGATGGCCAGGGATGTTGAACATGTCTTCATGTGTCTATTGCCCATTTTACTTCTTTTGAGAAATTTTGTGTCTACTGCCCATTTTACTTCTTTTGAGAAATTTCTTGAAGTCATTAGCCCATTAATTAATTGGGTTGTTGTTTCTTTGGAGGTTTATTGTTTGGAAGTTTAATTTTTTGAGCTCTAATCCAAGTATATTTTGGATGTTTGTCACTTGTCCTGATATATAGCTTGTAAAAATCTTTCCCTTTCTGTTTAGCTTATTAGTGATGTCCTTTGCTATGCAGAAACTTTTACGTTTGATACAATCCTATTTATTCATCTTTCTTTTTTGACGGTTGTGGGCTTGAACTCTGGGCCTGGGCACTGTCCCTTGAGCTCTTCAGCTCAAAGCTAGTGCTCTACCACTTGAACCACAGTGCCACTTCAGCTTTTTCTGTTTATGTAGTGCTGAGGAATTGAACCCAGGACCTCATGCATGCAAGGCAAGCATGCATTCTACCACTGAGCCGCCTTCCCAGGCCTTATCCATGTTTCTTTGAAAGCCAAACAAAATAAGTGCTGTGAAGTGGATACTTATAAGAGGGTAGGGTGAGGCCAAGGGGAGAGGGGAAGAAGAAAGAAAATGCAGGCAAGAATTCATTGCATATACCACAGACCTGAGAACTAGAAGGGAAGGAGGGAGTGGGTTGAAGGGGGGTGAAGGTGTTGGTGGTAACGCAGATCAAGATGCATTGTACACATGCATTGCTTTGTTAAAAACAAACAAACAAACAAACAAAAGCCTGGTGCTGGTGCCTGTAATCCTAGCTATTCGTGATGCTGAGATCTCTGAGGATCATGGTTTATAGCCTGCCAGGGCAGGATAGTCCATGTCATGACTCTTATCTCCAATTAGCTACCAGAAAACCAGAAGAAGAACTGTGGCTCAAAGTAGTAGAGCACTATCATTGGATAGAAAGGCTCAGGGGATAGCACTGAGGTCCTGAGAGCTCAAGTCCCGTCCCCCACACCCCCCCCCCCCAAAAAAAATTTAATACATAACCTAAAATATATAGTGAATTAAGGGAAGCGTGGGGTAGGCAGGGAGGGCTGGGGAGAAGGTTGAAAGAAGTGAGGTTCATGCAGATGCGCTGTATTCGTGAAACTGCTTTGGAGAATTGGAACTCCTTTGTACAACTATTTAAAGATAACACTTTTTAAAATGAAAATGAGAGAATTTTTGTAAGTAGATAGTAATTGCGCACTTTCTGTCTTGTAGTTTTGAAGTGATTAAAGTCATCCATGGCAAGTTGTTGGATATGGTGGGTAAAGTGCAGTAAGTAGAGTTCTTTCCTTCTTGATTGAACTCATTACAGTTAGTGGCTGCTCATCAAGAGAACCTGGCACTGACGGTTCTGTTTCTGTTTCTGTTTCCTTTTCAACAGAATTCCTATTATGTTGGTTGGGAATAAGAAAGACCTGCACATGGAAAGGTATGTTTCCTTTTCAGTCGTGTGTGTGTGTGTGTGTGTGTGTGTGTGTGTGTGTGTGTGTCACTGTTGGTGCGTGCACGTCCTGACCCTGAGTGTTGGACTCTCAAAGCTTGTGTGTTGTCCCTGAGCTTATTCGAGGCTTGTTTTCTACCACTTGAACCACAGCTCTTTCCAGCTCTTCTGGTTAATTGGAGGTAAGAGTCTCACGGACTTTGCTACCTGGTCTAGCTTCAAATTGGGATCCACCAGCCCTGGGCTTAAGTCATTTATGTATGAAATGAAGCCTGAGGAGATTCAGTCACCTTAACATCAGTTTTCGATATTGCCCAGCAGTCCGTGTGTAGCTGTAGCGTTTACCCATTCAGAAACGTGGCCCTGGGTGGAGCCATGGCTCCGGAGGTAGAATGTCAGCCAGTGAGCGAACAAGTCAGATTGAGAATTCAAATCCTGGAAGGAAAAAAAGTAAAAGAGAAATGTGGTCATGAGGCACAACAGAGGTGAAACTACAGTGCACATTGAATGCCACATCATTCTAGAAAAAGAGAAGATGTTCTCTTGTGGCTGTCTACTGTGACAAAGAAGAAGGCATTCCTTGTTCTTGCTGCGGTTTCTCGAATGGGCTGGGATCGCAGGGTGAGCCTGGCGCAGGGACACCACCCCAGCAGCAGCTCGCGGCACACGCGAGCTGTGGCCCTTCAGAATTTCCTCTGCCCTCGGGTGCTCGCAGCCCCGCTGGGAAGCAGGTGGGTGTCCGATAGTGGAATAGCTCGTGTTCTCTGAATTGCATGGACTTGCTGGACCGTGGGTGGCCCAACAAGGCCTTGTGTTTTCTGTTCCCCACCAGGCTTGACTTAAGCCCCTGTGTTGTTCCTTGTAACACCGTCACGCCGTGTCATGTGTCACGCGGTATAGAAGGCTGATCAAGAGTTGAGCCAGTTCCTTTAATTATAGATGTTGTATGTCATTTAAAAACCCCACAGAATGACAGTGCTCTCTTTCTTTTAGGGTGATCAGCTATGAAGAAGGGAAGGCTTTGGCAGAGTCTTGGAATGCAGCTTTTTTGGAATCTTCTGCTAAAGAAAATCAGGTTCGGAGCCTGTAAAGTTCATTTTTCTCTAGTTCTCCCCAGCCATAGGCCTGTGTTCTTCCTGTTTAGCATTGCTAGCTCCTTTTAGACTTGATCCATTTCTGACACCAAACTTTGGAGTGCTTTAGAAAGCACTATGCAAACTATCGTTGTTGTTTTTATTTTATTTTTATTTATTTATTTATTTTTTGGTCCAGTCGTGGGGCCTGAACTCTGGGCCTCGACACTGTCCCTCAGCTCTTCAGCTCAAGGCTAGCGCTCTACCACTTGAGCCACAGCGCCACTTCCGGCTTTTTTCTTTTTGCTTATGTGGTGCTGAGGAATCGAACCCAGGGCCTCAGGCATGCAAGGCAAGCGCTCTACCACTGAGCCATCTTCCCAACCCCGTTGTTTTTATTTTTTAATCATAGGTTAGTACAGAAATAAGTCACGACACAGAAAAGCTATTTCTATAACCCTTTTCCCTCTTTTTATGGAGAAGGAAATGAGTCACGTGCCTCTGTTACTCTTTCTTTTTTTTTTTTTTTTTTTTGTCCAAGACTCAGCCTCAAACTCAGTATCTGACGCACCAGCTGTTTCCCAGTCTGGCCAACAGATAGATAGCCCATTAAAAGCACGTCTAGGCGCATGCGGCTTCTGTTCTGGAAAGAACATCGCTCCTTTTCCTTCTGCCTCTACGGCCTTAGTTCAGACCAGGGCCGTTTTCTTCCCACACACTTCCTTTGCCCCGGGAATTGGATGAGCCGAGGCGATCCCGCAGCCCTCGCCCCGCCCACTGGCGCCGCCGCCACTGTGGAGCAGCGCGACGCAGGCGCACACCTCTGCTGCTGCTCCTCGCCGCTCTGCGCCCTGAGCTTTTCCTGGCTTGAAGTGCCCTCTCTCCCGCTGTCTCCTTGTTCTTGCTTCCTAATGTCTAGGCTGTTTTCAGCATGTGACCTTGTTTAATGTATAGGTCTTCATTTCTCTGCAGAAACGCCAGCTGGTGAGGGGGGCTGGCGGGCGCCCGGCCAGTGCCCCTCCCTCCCCACCCGGCCTCCTTCCCGGGATGACACCCCGCCCCCCATCACCTTGTCACCACTCAGCTGGATAGTGTGTCCTCTCTTCCCTGAGTTCCTTCCCAGGTCCCAGTCTCCCTTGCCTCGCTGTCCTCTGGTGGTGGGGGCGGTGCTGTCTGGCTTGCGTCCTGAGTTGAGATGTGTTGGGCGTCGCATGTGCGCTGCCTTGTGCGCGCCAGCTGGCCAGGGCTTCCCGGGCGGCGCGCGACAGCGCAGAGGGCTCGGACAACGAGAGCCGAGGCCAGCAAATTGGCGGAGCTGCGTCTAAACGGAATTGAATCAGACGCTTATTAGGTGCCAGATGGGTGCACTTTGTTTTTAGATGTGAGAAAGTAAAAGTCAAGAGAGGGTGAATAGCTTCTCTAAGGTTATGCTTTGTTCCAGATGTAAATCTAACCCAAATCTTACCCTTTCTGGTGTGCACGGCGTGTACTGGTAATCAGTGACCCCAAGGCCGCACCTTACAGGGCGGGCTGGGCCCCGGGTTGGCTTGGGACGCGTTAGGAGCACAGACAGCTCATTCATGCCAGCGTGGCGGGATGGCAGGCGAGGATGTGGCTGGTGTTCAGGGGACGGAGCCGTGAATGGCGCCTCTGTTCCCAGGGGAGGGGAAGCCAGGTTATCAACGTGTGGACAGAGGGGGGGGCCAGCACAGAGCCTGCCTTCCTCCGGGCAAATTCCTGGGCTCACCCAGAAACTACATTTGGGCTTGGAGGCGACACAAAGCATCCACAGGATTCCTGCTCGTGGGTGGAAAGCGAGTCTGCGTGTGCCCCCTGCGTTGTGGCCACGCTGGTCAAGACTCTGTGCGGCTAGACATTGCCAAGAAGGGAGATAGATAAAGGACCCTGACCACAGGGCAGGCTGGGCCACGCGGCCAGGAGAAAAGAGGGGGGCTACTGTGGGAAATGTCTTGGGGTGAACAAGTGGGGTACGAGTGGGCTTGAGCATTATTGGGCTCAGGAGACTGCTAGCAAGTGAGCTGTGGTCTTCCTAGGCCCCGCCCGTAGGCCCTTGATGCCAGTGCTGCACCGTCCGCGGTGGAGGGCGAAGAGGCAGGAAAAGCCCAGAGTAGAGAGGGACCCCAGAAACCCAGAGTAGGGAGGCGGCCGGCACAAGCGGGGAATGGACCCACCCCCTCTAGCCTCCACCTGCAGAGTGGGGCAGTGCTGTCTTGCGCATGCCCTGCAAGTGAGGAAGTAGTCCTTAAAACGAAGTCCATGGCAGTGGAGACGCTCACGCCTGTGTCCTAGCTGCTCAGGAGGCTGAGATGGAGGATCGCGGTTCAGTCAGCCCTGGCAGAAAAGTCCCCATGTGATTGTTTATCTCTAATTAACCACTCCAACCCTGGAAGTGGTGCTGTGGCTCAAGCGGTAGAGTGCTAGCCTTGACCCAAAGCGGCTTAGGAGCATCATTCAGGCCCCAAGTTCAAGCTCCACCACCAACGAAGAGTGGAGATGTAGCTCAAGTGGTAAAAGCACTTGAATGAAAAGCCTGGAGAAAAAAAGCTAACCAATAATTGCACAAAGCCCTGATGAGTTCACACACAAAAAACGGGGGTGACCTAACTGCCTTGGCTTCTTCCTCCCTGTAGACTGCTGTTGACGTTTTTAAGAGGATAATTTTGGAGGCAGAAAAAATGGATGGGGCGGCGTCACAAGGAAAGTCCTCGTGCTCGGTGATGTGAAGGCCTCGCGGGAGCAGGCCCGGGGTCTGCGCCACCGGAAGACGCGAGCTGCGCCAGCCTTGAGACAAACTGCTGCTTTTCTCTTCTGTTCACCTGAAAGATAGCGTTTGGGTCAGAACTCCTCCCCTTCCAGATTATGTTCAACTCTGACTCTGTCCAAATGAGCTCACTTCCATTTTCAAATTTTAAGCAATCATATTTTCAATTTATATATTGTATTTCTTAATATTATGACCAAGAATTTTATCGGCATTAATTTTTTCAGCGTAGTTTGTTGTTTAAAATAATGTAATCATCAAAATGATACATATTGTTACACTACTATTAACTAGGCTTCAGTGTATCAGTGTTTATTTCATTGTGTTAAATGTATACTTGTAAATAAAAATAGCTGCAAACCTTAATCCTTCCTGATGCTTGGTGTGACTTTTTTTTTTTGGTCAGTGTGGGGCTTGAACTCTGGGCCTGGGCGCTGTCCCTGAGCGCTTCAGCTCCAGGCAGTGCTCTACCACTTGAGCCACAGCGCTGCTTTCAGTTTTCTGGTAGTTCATTGGAAATAAGAGTCTGGTGAGAATTTTTCCGCCTGGGCTGGTTTTGAGCCACGATCCTCAGATCTCAGCCTCCTAAGTAGCTAGGACGACAGACGTAAGCCATGTGCCCCAGCCCAAATTCAGCCTTGCTGCCTCCGCTGCCCTGTCTGCCCTGTGAGGGCCTCCACCACTGAGAACCTCCATCCCTGAGGACTCCCACCACTGGTCTCCAGCCACCCGCTACCGTTCCTGACCAGGAGGTTCCTGACACTGTGGCTTCCATGTGTCAGCTCTGCCTGACACACCCCTTCCGGGATGTGGCAGCTTGAGGCCTCCGTGTCATCTCCACAGTCAGGGGGGGGCAGGCACCCCAGCGGGTCACCGTCAGGGCCTTGCAGTGGGAGTGTGTGTACCCTGGACCATGAGGGCTGAGCAGCCTCTGTCTCAGGCACCTCCCCCCCCCCCCCCCCCCCCCCCCCCCCCGTCATTGCATGGGTATTTCTACTGCTATAGTCGTTTTGTGAATGACATTTTTGTATACTGCTTTGTAAAGTTATCCTTCATATTTACTATATTTTGTGCTGGTTGGTCCTAGGGCTGAATTCAGGGTGTGTGTGTGCACGCGCACATATGCTGGTCCTAGGACTTGAACTTGGAACCTGGGCGCTGTCCCACTTGAGCCAGAGCTCCACTTCTGCCTTTTTTTTTTTTGTTTTGGTAGTTTAGCGGAGAAGAGTCTCAAACTTTTCTGCTGAAGCTCACTTTGAACCATAATCCTCAGATCTTAGCTATGATTATAGCCAAGACCCACCAACTCCTGACTTCCAGCTGCCCTTGAAATCCAGAGGGGGGTGGGGGGCTGGGGAGTCCTCTGTCTGTGTTTCTCGTGTGCTTTTTGGTGCTGCGTGTGGATTCCGTTTCCGCTGTGTCCCTCTGCTGAGCTCCGGGGTCGCCCGGGCTTCCTGCAGGCCGGGCTGTCAGAAATGAGTTCTTGGGTTTTATCTGGAAACGTCACTGCTCCCTCTGGGAAGAGAACAGGTCTGCCGTCGGTGCCATCGGGGGCACGGGGTGTGGCTTCCTCGCTCTGCTGACGTCCACACCCTCACGTGGTTGCGCGTGTTCAAGTAAAAGTCAGAGCTGGAGTTTGGACTGTTGGGGTTCAGGTGGGTGGCAGCCACCTGTAGGGCCCCACCGTGGAGACGGCACTGGGACGCTGCGTGCAGCGTTTAGAGGCCTGCCGCGCACACAGCGTGGCCTGTGCAGTGGATGATGCGAAGGACTTGGCTTGGCCTACAATGTGGTCAAGCCGGGCTGGAGGCCCAGAGCACCACCCTGAAGGCGCCAGCCAGCCAGGCTCAGGGTACACTCGGCCGCCCCTTGAGGCTGCCTGGCAGAACGTGCCTTCTGAAGCATTCCTCAGAAAATTCCAGAAGCTGGGCTGGGAAGGTAGCTCCATGGTAGAGCGCTTGCCTCGCATGCATGAGGTCCTGGGTTCAATTCCTCAGCACCACATAAGCAGAAAATGCCGGAAGTGGCACTGTGGCTCAAGTGGTAGAGCGCTAGCCTTGAGCTGAAGAGCTGAGGGACAGCGCCCAGGCCCAGAGTTCAGGCCCCACAACCGACCAAAAAAAAAAAAAAAGCAAAGAGAAAATTCCAGAAGCACATTACTTCTTTGCTGAGACAGCTTGCCTTGGACACCTTCTTGCAGCCCGAAGGCCTGCTGCGCCCCGGCAGGGTCTGCGCCCCAGCAGGGGGTGCCGGACACCCTCCTGCACCAGTGTTGGCACCCCACCATGTGACCACGGCTCCAGGGCCCCACAAAACCACAGCTGGGCGGCGTGCGACGGAGACCACATCCCACTGCCCGCCCCGGCTCGGCTGCCAGGGCCCTGGGCCTTCCACCTTTCTCCCTCGAACCAACCGGTGTCTGATATGTGTCGTGGCCACGCGTCTGCACACTTGGAGGTCGGTCCTGATGTCGGGGGGCCCCCACCTGCCCCCAACTTCCCACATCCAAATGGACAGTACGGATACACAGATGACCTTGGTGGGCAAGCACGATTCCCGACGTGAGCGATCCTTCCACCACTCCCAGCCGGGACGGGAGGAAACCGGCCTCCCCTGGTGGCTAGGGGTGGTGGTGGTCCCGCATCATCTCAGCCGGCCTTGCTCCGCCTGCACCCGCTCGGCCCAGCCTGGCGGCAGCACAGGAGATCACCGCTGGAGGACCCGGTTCCTCGCTGACAGGAGAGGCCCAAGCCAGGAAACAGTCCTGAGCCATGAGCGGTGACGCACAGACACCTGTAATGCCTGCACTTGGAGCCGAAGGAGGAGGATAGAGAGTTCAAGGCCAGCCTGAGCCGCAGAGTGAGACCCCGTCTCCAAGCCAGCAGACTGAGTCCAGGCTGGCTCTGAATTTGGCTTCTGTGATCCTCCCACCTTGTCTGCTCTGCCTCTTGATCCATACCATTCCTCGCGGCAGTCTCGCATCGTGGCCCAGGGTCAGCCTTGGACCTCTGTCATACCCAGACCCTCCTGTACGGTTGGAATTACAGACAGGAGCCACCATTCCTGGCCTGTTTGAGATGGGGTCTTGCTAAATTTTTGCCTAGACTGGCTTCCCAAATAGCTAGGATTACAGGCCACTGCACCCAGCTTCCTGGTTTGATTTTTTTTTTTTTTTGGTCAACTGGGGGGCTTGAACCCTGGGCCTGGGCATGGTCCCTGTGCTCTTCAGCTCAAGGCGAGCGCTCTACCACTTGAGCCACAGTGCCACTGCCAGTTTTCTGGTGGTTTATTGGAGATAAGGGTCTGATGGGGAATTTCCTGCCCCAGCTGGCTTTGAACTGAGATCCTCAGGTCTCAGCCTCCTCTGTAGCTAGGATTACAGGCGTGAGCCACCATTGCCTGGTTGATATATATTTTTTTTTTTGGGTCCAGTCATGGGGCCTGAACTCTGGGCCTGGACGCTGTCCCTCAGCTCTAGGTTAGCGCTCTACCATTTGAGCCACAGCGCCACTTCCGGCTTTTTTCTTTTTGCTTATGTGGTGCTGAGGAATCAAACCCAGGGCCTCATGCATGCAAGGCAAGCGCTCTACCACTGAGCCACCTTCCCAGCCCCTGGTTGATATTTTTAAGGTATGTAGTTGCACAAGAAATAGCACAGATTCTGTACATATTGATTGGTGAGGCCACGATATTACCTATTTCCTGTTCCTGCCCAAGAAAGGCCCAGGCAACACTATAGCTCTTGGTATATTTCTTACAAGAACAAAACCTGTATGGCTGCCCGTCCAGCAGGGGGAGACTGTGTGCACTGTCACTGGTGTCCTGGCAGCGTGCTTTGCCCTTCATTCCCTCCCTTTTCCTCGGACACTCGCGCTTGTACTGCAGTCCCTGCTTGATGCAAGGGTTGTGTCTGTGCTTTGCTCCCTGGGACCTAAAAGATTTCCTCCGTACCATGAAGTTCTGAAGTCTCGCCACAGTGTATTCAGACCGGAAGTATCATCGGGTTTGGTACTGGCCTGCCTTCTAAATCAAGACTCAAGATCGCTTCCAGTCCTTGAGAGTTCTCAGCTGCGAGAACTGTCCTCAAATCAGGTTTGTACATTTTTTTAAACTCTAGTTTTGTCTCTGTGTGTGTGTTAGTTGTTTTGTTTCATTTTTGTCTGTCATGGGGCTTGAACTCTGGGCCTGAGCACTGTCCCTCAGCTCTTCAGCTCAAGGAGAGCGTGCTCTACCACTTGAGCCACAGCGCCACTTCCCATTTTCTGATGGTTCACTGGAGATAAGAGTCTCTCAGACTTTCCTGCCCAGGCTGGCTTTGAACTGCGATCCTCAGATCAGCCTCCTGAGTAGCTAGAATTACAGGCATGAGCCACCATGCCCGGCTTTTGTGGGTTTGTTTGTTTGGTTGGTCTTTTTCTTTTTTGGTCCTGGGACGTTGCACTTGCTAGGAAGCGCTTTGCCCCTGAGCTACATCCCAGCCCGTATGTGCTGTTTTTATTTTTTATGTTTTTAACTTATTTTTGGTGCCAGTATTGGAAGCTCAGGGCCTCTCACCTCACTTGGCTTTTTTGTTCAAGGCTGGTGCTCTGCTGCTGGAGCCACATCTATATTTCCAGCTCTTTCTGGTGGTTAATTGGAGAATCTCACAGACTTTCTGCCCAGGCTGGTTTAGAACCACAATGCCCAGATTAGCTAGGATCGCAGGTGTGAACTATAAATTCATAATTCAGATGCTAGTATTGCCTGTGGACAAACCAGTCAGTGTCTCGCGTGTGTGAATGGGGAGGATTGCCCTGCATGCCCCACAGAGTGCTGAGAGAAGTAATGAGAAAATGCACGTTAGTGCTTGGCAATAAGAACTGCTGCGGCTGCAGCCCAGGTTTTTCCCTGGGTGCCATCACCATGGCTGCCGCCAGGGGTCAGCCTTCACGCCTTTCCGCTGCCACTGAGGCTGGGCGAGAACAGAGGATGCCCGAGAGGAGCCCAGGCCCAGGCCCTCTTCTGGGAGCAAGGCTGAGCCCAGGACAGTGGGCCTGCTAGGGCCAGGCTCAAGGTCCCAGGTGGCTGGGTCGGGCTGGGGCAGACCACTGGCCCCCAGGCCATGGTGGTGGAGACAGGTCCAGACCCAGGGGCGCCTCCCGCCGACCTTTCAGCGGGACCTCAGCCCCTCCACAGCATGCTCCAGGCTGGGGCTGCGTGCCAGGACCCCAAGCCGAGCCCTGGTGTCCCCTCCCACCACCCCATTCTTCCCCGTCTCTGCATGCAGCCTCTGTTGCTCTCCAGGGACTCAATATTTGACCCTAGACCTGAGATGGGGGGATGGAAAGGAGCTTCTCCCTCCTGCCCGCCTCCCTCCCTTCCTGCTC